AGAAATAAAGTTAACCAATTTCCCAATTCATTGACTGATTCAAGTCATTTCTGAGAAAAATAACATAATAATGTGTCAGCTTGGGGTGACAGAAAAACAACAAAAATTTAAAGTCATAGTAATCCAAGTAAAAGGACAATAAGCACTCGGCAGATTTCAGGATATTTTCATTCCCTTTCCCAAATGTTTAAATGTTGTCATTGTTATAAAGTTTCCATGTAAAAGACTAAACTTTTCAATAGAGGGGAGCATGAAGTTATCATATATATCATGTATATAAGTGTAAATCTAACTAGCAAAGCATGTCTTTACAGTTGTTTACAAACAATATTCTCAAAATTTCAATTTAGCACTACTCGAAATTAATCATGCAATGACTAAGCATTTCACATTTTTATAGAATGCTTTGGAAAACACAAAGAAAACACACCACGCGTTTGACACAACTTTGAGAGCCACATGCCAGTCAACGTGCTAAGGATACGTCTGGCATCACTTTCAGCCAACAACTTAAGTTTCTATTAAAGAAACAAATTGAAATCCTTGTTAATATTTAAAACACAAACAACTCTGAATTTTTAATATATGCCATCAATTTTAACAAAAAGCACTTTAAACTCTTTGGCATAAAGAATTTGGAAGACAGATAACATCTTAGTTATGGCAAGCTATTTTTCCAAACTATCAATTAAAAACCAAATATTAAAAGTATAAAACTTTACATGGTGTAGCTTTTTTCTTTACAAACTCATTAACTTTAACGAATACTTTTAATATTTGGGAGGCACTATATTAAGGACGTATATGAATTATCTATTTTTTCAACCACCCATGAGGTAAGTACCACATGATTATCCCCACTTCACGGATGAGAAAGACTTTTCCCAAGGTTCCTCATAAAAAGACAGCAAGCATAAACACTGTTGGCTTTTTTTTTTTTTACATGAGCTAGGGAGACTTTTTTGAAAGTTTCTTTTTATTTATTAACAACAAAGAGCAACAGTGCCTTCCAGATCACTCAAGTTCAGAAGTTCCATTTCAGAATCCTCTTAGTTTCAAATATCCCAAGCTTCCACATACATGCTCTTTTATTTAACATGCAAATAGTTCACAAAAGGAGAGCATTTTAAGCCTAGCACTTTAGTCCCTAAGGATCCAGTTGAAAAGCCAGACAAGCCCTTGAACTTTATCAAGATAAATCCCTGGCAACCACTAATCACCAGAGAGGATCTTCCAATTAGATAAGGGCCAGAATTCTGGCATGGGAATGAACACAAACACCTTGCCATCCACAAAGGCCCACAACCTGGCAGCCTTTCAGCGAAGTTCCCCTCATGTAAGCTGTTACGCTAAACTTTCCAGCTATTGCTTGGGAATTGATAATTCTTAAGATATGAGGAGAGTTGTGATTTCTGACACAGCATTCCAGAGATAAATACATGATCAGAGGGATGCTTTGAAATTCCCAAAGATATTCCAGCGGTCTACAGCTGTATGAAAATAGTTTTCGAAAGGTGTCTCTTGCTAAGAAAAAGAGGGGAAAACAGAGCAGTTGGCTTGCCATCAGACAGTATGTTAAATGCATACCAGACATGTGAGTTCCAAATAACATCCTGAAAAATGCTATCGCTAAAACTCCCCTTTGCTTTCAATAAACCCTTTCAAATGCTTTACCTAAGAATGGTTTCCTAAGCAAGTTTATAACCTACTAGCTGAAGACAGCACTAAGGCATAGTTTAATTTCTACACTATTTAAAAAGAAATAAATGACAAAAATACGTGAAATTTGGGAAAATGATAAGAAAACAACTTTCTTGGATGATAGTAGTAAAAGATATATTAAAAT